TTGTTTACAATCGCCAAGATATAGAAGCAGTCCCAGTGTCCATCAGTAGATGAGTGGATAAAGCAACTATGGGACATTCACACAATGGAATACCACTTGGCCATAAAAAAAGAAAATTTTACCTTTTGCAACAGCATGGATGGACCTGGGGAACATTATGCGAAATGGTACAAGCCAGCTGGAGAAAGACAAGTACCATATGATTTCATTTACATGTGGAATCCAATGAACAAACTGAACTAACAAGCAAAATAGAGACAGACTCATAGAGAGCAGAACCAACAGCTCTGGGGAGGTGGTTAGGGGGAGGAGGGACTGAGCAAAAAAGAAAAAGGACTCATGGACATGGACAACAGTGTGGTGATTGTGGGGGGGTGTATAAGGGAGATAAAAGGTAATGGAAAAAAATACAGTAAAAAATAAAAATAAATCTTAGTCAAAAACACCCTCACAGACATATCCAAAATAAGGTTTGATTATATATCTGGACACTGGGGTCCAGGCAAGTTAACACTTGAAATTAATCATCACATGCCCTCACTTAAAAAAACATGATTCGAGAATGGGGGGCGGGGTGGAGAGTAAAACTTGTTAGTGAACTTTTTGAGTTTTAACCACTCGAATTATTCCAAGTATAAAGTTAGAAGTTGTAAATACGTACTTAACTTTTAATCACTTTTATGGGTTTCATTGCTTTTTAGAAACACCTGAAAGAAGGTACTAAGATAAAATAAAAATGTCAAGGATTCCTTTATTACTTTCTTAAAGACTTCTTCCCAGTTAATTTGGTAAAGGTACCTGAAAATTACCTCATAATGGCTTTATTCTTAAATGTATTTATAATTCCACCTCTTCATTTTCTCAGACATTAGTTGATGTATTATATGGGGAAAAAAATAAAATAAAATTTTTAGTATCTCATCTTGAGATGGCTAATTCTTCTATACTCATTCTTTTGGCAACATTGCATGGTATTTATTTTAGACTGATGCTTTAAGAATCCTGTCCACCTTCCTGAAACCTCATTGCTCTGGAGAATGGTAGGCTAGCAGTTTGCATCAGGAGGGTGATGGAAGCCATCGCTCACTGTTCCCCCAACAGCGAGTGTTTCCTGTTTCTCTCCCTGAGGGGGCTTCCTATTTGTTCAGCACTAATCCCTGCGCAGTGGCCCAGCTAGAGCCTCCTTGCAGTACTAAGGCAGGGCACTTAGCCCAGCCATCCAAGTATTATGGTAGAATTTTGTTACTGAAAGCCTTTAACTTTGCGTCTAAGCTTCTTTTTGATTTTCAGACTACTTTGATAATCTGAAAGAACTGCAGCCCCTCTTGTGGATAAATGCACAGAAAAAAACACATGAAACTCTCAGTGTATAACTTTTTGCACTGCTGGGTTTTTATTATCACATGAGTGTAACACCTATTAAAAAAATAATACATTATAAAGAGGAAAGTTAGTGCTCATTTGGGGCTCTTGATAACCCATGAATAGGTATTCATAGTACTAGTCTCTCCTTCAATGTCATAGATCATAAAGGAGAAGGACCAAAGAGTATACCAACGGGGAGAAAACGTTTAATGTTTATGCAGCCACACTTTCATATAAAGATTTTTTATTGTAAAAAAAAAAAAAAAAAAAAAGATGGCCCATTTTCAAAATCTTTACAGTGTCAAAATTCTTTATATTAATAACTGCTTTAAAACTTTAAAGTTATTACATTTACTTTTTTCAATATAAGTTCTCAGCCTCATTAAAAACTTCCTTCGTTTTGTTGAGAGAAGTTGCACTATCCACAAATGCTGATCGAGTTTCCTTTCTACCTAGTCTCTTAACTTCCTGTTATCTAAACTCGTATATAACACTCTCCTGAAACTGCTCTGTTAAAGGTAACCCATCCACTAGTACAATAGTCTCCTTCCTCCCACTATTCTGTTTTTCGATTCACGCTTGTTATACGAGCAGCTTAACCTTTCTAAAATAAGTTTCATTTGTCAATCCCTAACTCAGAAACACCAAGTGGAAACTAGTGGAATGAATGGTAACTGTGATGGCCCTTAAAAACTCAAATTTCAAGAGAGAAGTTTTGAGAAGGTGATTAACACCATAAAAGGTATTGTTTTACTTAGATCCTGCCAGTAGTAAAGGGCAGATGAATGCAAGATGGGGGAGATGAGTCAGGGTGACCAGCTGTCACATAGAGCTGGTATCCTGTGCTGATGGGAAGGGCAGTCTTTCTTGTGGAGTTTGGATCTGCCAAACAAATGCTACCTTGTTGAGGGATTCATAATGTGGGTTCATAATGTTGTTTAGTAGCATCTTCCAAACTGGACCTTGCAGGGTTTATCATACAAGTAGACAATATGAAGCAATTTCAGGTGTAGCAATTTGATTTTAGATGCAAAAGCCGTGATTTTAAAGACTTGATTGCTCACCTGAGTAGGTGGAAATGTGCCAGGAACATCTGGTCACTCTTTCTTTAAGAGCCATGACTATACTTATTTAACCCTACACAAGAAATCCTTTGGCCCTTTCCTCAGGATCCCAGGTCAGATGAACTAGACAAAATTCTCGTCCTGCTATTGCTATACACTTGTAGGAACCTGCGCTCCTCAAGTACCCTCTGGGCTTCCAGAATCCCTCTTGCAGGTCATTCATTACTCTGCTAAATTGGTGAAAAGTATAAACCGTTTCTCCCTCCCTGAGCTAAAATCTCCTTAATCTTCACCAGCTATTCCAGGGAACAAAGGTTGGTAGGAGACAGCATTCAGGCCTGCTTTGTTCTAACACCTATATAGTTCAGACTGCTTTCTAGGTAAGGGGTTTCTTAGTTAGAAGAAAAAAAAAAGTCCTATTCTTAATTCCCCCTTTGGAATTAGGAAATTTGTCTTCAGACTAAAACAGTGGGGAGAAAAGAAGAAGGGAATAGTTAAGAAGGTGCAGTCAAATGTGATAGGAGAACCCAGAAAGGAGGAAATGTTCACGGAATCAAGTGCCTGGAAATCTAGAAGCATGAATTATTCAATTTTCCCAAAAAGAAATCATCAGACTTTGGACATTGCTGTTTCAGAAAGAGGGAAGATCAGAAGCTAAAGTTGCAAGAGGCAATGGATAAATGGGTAGTGGAAACTGGATGTTCCCGGTATACATTCTGCGGTGCTATCAGGTTAGTTTCTCACTTCCTGGGAGCACAGCTTTATTACCACCTGCCTCAGCAGTCTGTGCTATTGTTTTTTATCTCCAATTTAACTCTTTAGAGCCTACCCATCATTTAAATCCTAGCTCTATTTCAGTTCCTCCTGCAAGTCTTCTCTGAAGGTAACAGTTTCCACTTCATTCCACATTGCCTGAAATCTTGAGTTCATCGTTACAACTGTTACCAGGAAGACCCAAGTTAGGGGGCTCCCCATCCTCTGTTCTTGCCTGGCTCGGGAAAGATGAATTTGAAACAAAAAAATTGGCGTTCCTGCTACTTGTCATAACCAAAACCTTAAGTGGAGAGAAAGGTTGAATCTGTATGGGCGCTTTAATTCACATGGCTGGTAATCTGAGAAGATAACAGGTTATGTACCCTAAAGACTGTCTTACATTTTATTTCAAACTGACCTTTTTTATAAGAAGAAAAAAAGTGAAGGTAAGGGATTTGGAATTCAGGGAAAAGGCTATTCAGATAAAAGCTGCCGTCTGGCAATTTTTGCAAACATCACGATTCTTTATCTTTGTCCTGGGCAATGGGACACAGAACAGCTTTCCCTGGCGCTCAATGGCTCAGATACCACCATCCTGATTGCTTGCAGCCCCCCTGGTGCACAAAGGTCAAATTGCTTGTTGTCTCCTGGACTCTGGGTGGGTCATACCTTCGGTTCCTGGAACAGTAGCTTTTACATACATTGACTACTAAGCTTATTGACTATTACTTAAAACTAAAAATTTCCAACTCATGAGTTCCCCCATCAAATTCAGGCAAGAAACAATATGTATAATGGAATGAGAAAACAAATTCATTTATGAAATACACTTGAGCACAAAGCACAAACAGACATGCAGCTAGAATAAGTGCCCTGACAATTGGAATTTCAAAGGGGTTTTATGCTTGTAGCCAGCTTCTGGGTTCCCTCTCCTCCTCCCTTCTCTGGATTTTGGGATTAACATAGTTTCAAAGGCTTTCTTTCTTAAATAGTGGAAATGATATACACAGAATTTCAAAGGCTCTCCCCTCCTCCTGTGCTATCATAGTTCTTGTGATTTTTAGAACACCTGGCCATCTTATCTGACTGGGTGACACAGATCTCCCTCGCCCTCCCTGCCTTCCTTTGCTATCTATCTGCCTAACACAATCAAACTATTTAGCATTGTAATAGTTACATCAAGTGTGATCCTACTCTCCTTCACTTAAACGGTGTATTTCTTTAGTTTGGAGACTACCGGTATATTGTAAACTTGTTTTGTATACTCCCTGGAAAAATTGTAGGTTTATACTTATCAAATATACTCCCAGGCCTAAAATTATGTTAAATATTGAAGAACCACTACTTAAAAATACTGTATAAAAGCTTCTATCCCAGCATGCTTTCACTAAATTTTCAAATAAAATGTATTCATTTTGGTCGGTTTCAAGGAGATTGCCCAACTCATTCCTAGAGCAGAATTGAAAACTTACAATTTATGCAGAATTGTCCAAAGAAAGGGAAGTTCCTACAAAAAGACTCCTGGCAATGAGCTCTCAAATTCGGAGTGCAAATTCCGTCGAGCGATCATACAATCAGCCCGATGGTAAGTGTCAAATTTCGCAAATGACTAGAAAAGGGAGAGTGAAGTGATCATCTCATGAAACAGTTTGCTAACCTGTCCAATAAGGAAAGTTGATCAGGGTTCCTGAATTCACTGCGACTCTGATTCTAACCCAGATATTTCAGCATCAGGCGTGGGCAGCCAATTGGACCGTCTGAGCGCCGTGCATTCTGGGAGCTGTAGTTTCCCGCCCGTTCTCCCTACTACAAGTTCCACTGAGCAGCTGGAGGACGGTTGCTTGGTATTATTAACAAGCGGGAAGTATGGCGGTGGCACGCGCCGATGCAGCTTTGCCTCCTGGAGAAGGTAAGGCTATCCTCACCCCTGAGTCCCAACTCTTACTTCATGGAACTGAATTAAATAATTACCTGATAGAGAAAAAGCCTGGGTTTTAGGGGTACAGTCCTGGACCAGTTCTTTCGGTAGGAGTCTGTGGGCGTCGTAGAGGCGCTGTGCCTTCTGGGAGTTGTAGTCCCCGGGTTCTGCCTAGCTCTCCGGCGTCTCGGTGGGAGCCGGTTTGGGGGACTACAGCCCCCAGGGCTCTTCGCACAGCCGGGCGCCCTGGCTCCGGGGCTCCTTAGGCTCTTTGAGGGGGTGGGTTTCGGACCGCCGTAACCTTTCTAGGATGTTTACTTTGAGTTCTGGTTACCTGAGTGGAAACTGCAGGATCCCCCTTTTTCGCTTTACTGTCCCTCTTTCCTTTCTGTTCCTAGAACGTTCAGGACCCCCTTTGTCAGAAACAGCTTTCTAGACGTTGAACTCTTTCTTGGAAGGGTCCGGTGGCTGTGATAAAATATGGGAGTGATCTAGAGCCCACAGTTCGGAATCCTGGGGTCGGGTTTGGTCGCTGCCCAGTGAAGCGCAGAACGCGGATGCTTCTTTGACCCGGAGCCGCCGGGCGTGAGCAGAGCTCCTTTGTTTTCGTTACAGGTCTGAGGCTCAGCATCAGCGGTTTGGGTCTGGGCATGGCTGAGTCGAGGCCTTCCTCTGCGGCTTAGATGAGAGGCTCATTATGTTTGGGGGGGGAGGGGGCAGTCGACTCTTTGGTATTGTGTGCAAAGGCTATGTGTTTTCCTGGTACACAGTACACAGCTTTATCAGATTCTCAGAGAATTCCATGACCCAACCCTTTCATGCCTGCCCCCAACCCCAAATGCTAGAAGCCGTTAGACAACGGGAAAACGTTGAATCTCTTCAGAAAAGCATTGTCAAATAATTATTTCCCGCAGTAGTCTTAATTTGGGTATAAATTGGAAACTGGCAGTTTCTCTGGCCCCGTCCCCCTCTGATACCTGCTTTTAAACTCCACCTTCCTAACCCACCAAGGCAATTTACAGCAGTACCAAAAACATTTATAGAGCACATTTTGTATGAGCTAGACGATATTTTGAGTGTTTTTTTTTTAGACTTTTACATCATTTCATTTTCTCTGTAGAACAACATGATAAGCCGGTATTATCAAATACATCTTACAGAGTAGAAAAGTGAGCCCCAAGGAGATATTAACTTGCCCAATGGTGAACTGGTGGAGTCAGGATTTTGACATCTGTTGTACTAAATTATTGACTTGGCCAAAAAGTCCGTTCACCAATTGTGGTACATTTTTTTTTTTTTTTTTGAAATGCACGTTGATATAACAGCTGTCACGATACAGTGTAACAAAATGTTTTGGAATGCAGTTCAAGACAACTAAACGCTATTAGAGCCATCTGTCAGAAAAAACTGAATGAACTTTTTGGCCAGCTCGATACATTATGGAGTACTGTGTGCCAGGGATGGGGCTGAGTGCTGTTGATATGGTGTCTGTTTTCATCCCCACATCAATTTAATGAATTAGGTGCATTATTCCCATTTTGTAGATAAGTTAACTGAAGTGTATACGTCGATTTTGGTCACTTCGGAATATACTGGTAGTAAGGTAGTAAGCAGGTTAATCTCTTAACAAAAGACGAGTTCCACTTAAAAAATACTATCATTACTTAGGTATAAAATATGAAACTATTATTTCATATTTAAATGTGAAGAATTCCAAAGTATTTCATCATAGAAACTTGAGTAGAATATCACAAATCTTGGTGTAGTTTGATATTTCTAGAGCAAGTGAATAATAAACTGTGGTCCTTAGGAATTTGATTGCATTTGTTTTAAAATTTTTATATTGTGCTTTAGTGTTTTCTAACTCTGAATGGGATATTATGAGTGTAATTCCATTTGTATGCTCAGCAGTTTTATTTGTGTTTGCTAATAATTTCCCTTCTCTTTTTAAGGATCAGTGGTCAATTGGACAGGGCAGGGGCTTCAGAAGTTAAGTGCAAACTTACCCTGTGAAGCAGATACTCATACTTTGATTCTGGATAAAAATCAGATTATTAAATTGGAAAATCTTGAGAAATGCAGACGATTAATACAGGTAGGTATTGTATCTGGGGAAAGAGTGATATAGAACCAATTTATTATTAGATCTAATAAAACAATAAAATAACCTAAGAAAAGTTACTATGCAGGCTTGGAAAGTAGTGTTATAAATCTTTATATGGCTGTTTCTCCTGAAGATGGACAGATATGTGCTGCATTTGAATGGACTGGAAAAAGAAGCATTTGTTTAAAAAAAAAAAAAGCCAATATTTTATGTTGGCAAAATACTGTGTTAAGAAAACCTTTCTTACCTCATGATGGAAGTAAAGAGTTCCTTGCTTCCTTCCTTCCTTCCTTCCTTCCTTCTTCCTTCCTTCCTTCCAACTTCCTTCCTTCCTTCCTTCCTTGAATAAATGTTTATTGGGCTCCCCCTTATGTTTCTGGTACTGTTCTAGATTTTTGCTGAGACAGTTTAAGGATCTCATTCATGGAGCTTACATTCTCTAGTAGTTGCTGTGTTAATGATGTTTTCTCTTTGGTAATAGGAGATTTGATTGCTGAGGTTAATGTTTAATGTGTATTTTCCATTGTTTAGGAGTAACAGCAGCAGCAACAACAAAATATAGTCACTCTGTGGAATATGTAGATAATGTATGTGAAAAGCACAAATTGGGTTTATATATTTGGGAATGTTTGGCCATATAAGCAAATCTTTATAAGCACCCTAATGTGAACATAATCTATATATTATATCCCCAAAAGTAATGATATGTTTCCTTTCCATAGCTGTCAGTGGCTAACAATCGGTTGGTACGGATGATGGGTGTGGCCAAACTGACCCAACTGCGTGTGTTAAATTTGCCTCACAATAGCATTGGCTACGTGGAAGGGCTAAAGGAGCTAGTACACTTGGAGTGGCTGAATTTGGCAGGAAATAATCTCAAGGTGAACTGTTTTTGCTTTGTTTTGTTTTTAGTGATTATGTTTACTTTTTTTAATTTACAATAGTATACACCCTAAAAAAGAAATTCAAGCACTATAGAAATGAATAGAATAAAATTTGAAAGTACCTACTAACACACTGCAGGGATAATTTTAGTTAACCTAAACTAAAATGAACTTTTTTAAACATACAATATAGTACAATATTCTTTTAAATGTGAACAAAGAATCTATGTTATATTAGAAAAGTGGCTCAAACAGAATGAAATGTTAGGAGGGAAACTCTACCATGCTGCATTAAGTAAATGTTTAATGGAAGAGTGGAGAATATACTGTTTTAAAAGTCAGGAAATCTGGATTCTAGTCCTACTTCCACCATTTAGTAACTCTATAATTTTGTGCAAGTTAATAAATATCTTTGTGTCTTGCTTTTCAGTTGCTGGATGAGAGGAGTAGATTAAATGAGATTAATAGCTGACTTTTATTGAACAATTAATTGAGGCTAGGTAGGCATTTTCTATATTTTTGCTTCACTGGATATTATTGTAAGCATCTTAACTGTATTAACTCAGTCTCATGACAGTCTATAAGGTATTGGGTTGTCCAAAAATTGTCTTTAGTTTTTTCTGTAAGATGACTCTAGTAGTGCTTAGTTGTCTTTCACTTCATTCGAAACAGTTTTGTTAGATTGTATTGTGGCAGCTGTCACATCAGTGTGCATTTCAAAAAAAAACTTATCAAAACTGGTGAATTTTTGTGCAGCCATTTTAAGATTGAAGATGGAAGACGGTACTCAACATTTTCAGCGTATTATGCTTTATTATTTTAAGAAAGGTAAAAATGCAACTGAAATGCAAAAAAAAAGGTGTGTGCAGTGTATAGAGAAGGAGCTGTAACTGATCGACTGTCGACGAAATGTCTTGGTACTCTTGGCATTTTGTCCAAATAACTCTTTCCTGTGGGTCTGTCTTATGCTTTGGCCTCTACCCACTAGAGGCCAATAGAGGGGAAATAGCTGACGTACTCAAAATATCCAAATCAGTAGTTATTGGTGGAAATGAAAAATGTGTCTTATATGGAAAAAAAAATTACAGACTTTTTGGCTAACCCAATAGGTAGCATCATTATGCCAATTATATAGAAGAAGAAACTGAAGTATAGAGAAGTTAAGTCAGTTGCCTGAAGTCATACATATAGGAAGTTACAGAGTCAAGATTAACTTGTAAAGTCTATGCCCACCCAACTATCATGTGTCATCACTAAGGTTTCTTCAGGCTCTAAATATCTGGGATGATATGATTCTCTACTCTGAGAGTGATGATGAAGGTAGAAGCTTGCTACCTAACATTTACCAAATTGTTAGCACTGCTTTCTCTTTTTCTTGCTAAGCGCCATTCCTCTGCTTCCAAAAATAAGCAAAAGAGGCAGGAAACTCAGTTATGAGGAACTAAGAAAGAGTTTCTGTTTTTTATATTGTTTACATAACCTAATATGATAATCTTCTTGTGATAGGCCATGGACCAGATCAGTAGCTGCACAGCTCTACAGCACCTCGATTTATCAGACAATAACTTATCCCAGATAGGTGATCTATCTAAATTGATATCACTGAAGGTAAGTCTGTGTTCTGACTATGTCATTTCTGAAATTTTACACTAAAATACCAGGAGAAAGTGATCTGATTGGCTTAAAAGCAGCCTGCTGTCTATGAAGAACAGATTGTGTTCAATATAATAAACACAGTAGCAGAAACGAAGTATGAAACTTTTTGGGGTTTTTTTGTAACTATACTGATTTAATTAAAACTGGCCATTGTAGTTAAGGTTAGTTCTTATTTACCATACTTTCAACATTCCTTTCATGCCAAGCTACCCATACTTGCAGTTTTGCAGAAAGTGCATAACATGTTGGTGAGGTTGAGCATAATTATTCCTGAACTTGAGCCTGTTTTTTTGACACTCAGAATTGCTGTCTTTTTAGTAATAGGTATTACTAAGTTGTCAAAGTTAATTTCACTTTAATTAAAAAGAAATAAACCTGTAGCATACAGCGCTTTTTTAAAAAAAGATTTATTTTTAGAGAGAGGAGAAGGGAAGGAATAAGAGAGGGAGGGAAACTCAGTATGTGGTTGCTTCTTGCGTACCCCTTCCTGGGGACCTGGCCTGCAACCCAGGCATGTGCCCTGCACTGGGAATCGACCCATCTACCCTTTGGTTCACAGGCTGGCTCTCAGTCCACTGAGCCATACCAGCCAGGGCTTGTATAGCACTCTTTATGTAGGTGAATATATTATGCAATTAAGTAAGTAATAGTTGGACTCAACTGCCTCAGAAAACATGCAAAGCATTTTCCATAATTTTGCTTCTTTAAGTATTATTAGCATCAGATGAACTCATTAAGCTTTAGGAGTGTTACTAGCTCAACGTTCCCTATATCTTTAGCAAAAAATGCAAGTTATTCTAAATAATTTGATTTAGCTAGATACTAAGATATTCAGATGAACTAAAGATGATTTAGCATTTTTTTTTCCTGAAATGGAGGCATAATTTTATTAGAATCTGGTGTTCAGAGTTTTTGATTTCTCATTGTTGCTGACCTTGAGTCAGTTTCATTTTATGGAATATGGGCCTTCTCTCCCTCCCTCCTTCTCTTTTGGAAAATTTGCTTTACATTTGATTGTTTCAATGACTTTTCTTTCAGTTTCCTCACTTTTGATATTTTAAAAGGAAATGAACCAGTATGTTGGAAATTGATCATGTTTTAATAAACTAAATTTCACAAAATGCTAGTTACTACACCAAGTATGTGTTCTTGGACAAGTCTTTGAACTTTCCTGGGCTTAGAATGTGAACAAGGAAAGAGAGAGTGGACCGAAGGTGACCTAGTATTAAGTCTTTGATTTGAATGCTGTGAGACATAATAAAAAAGGTCCCCCTATTTTCATACATACCATTTTGGTTTTGTCAAAATAGACCCCTTTACTTGTAATCTTTTCATTTGTAATTTGTCTTGTTTTTACTTTTAAGACCCTGCTTTTGCATGGGAACATCATCACCTCTCTTAGAACAGCACCGGCTTATCTACCCAGAAGCCTTGCTATCCTTTCTTTGGCAGAAAATGAAATTCGGGACCTAAATGAGGTAAAATTTGAGGGTATTCTGTGGGATCCAGGAAGCTGAAAAGTTGTGAGAGGGGAGGAGAAACACAGGAGAAGGTTGTGAACTCACTTTTGGACTGTGAGCATATTGGGAGAAACAGCCATCAAGATGAAACACTTGGTTCTAGCTGGTCTTTTTTTTTTCTTACAGTCACTGGGTCATTAAGGTTTAATTTAATATGTAATGCTGCGGTTATTATTCAATTTGGAAGTGATTGGTGGTAGAGGGACATTTACATTAATGGCGTTAATACGGCGCACTGCACTTTTCTCTGGCTGCTATTAGATTTTCCAAATAGGGTTCTCCTGCTGGGAAACAGTGCTGATACTTTCCAAGGGGCTTTGTGCAGCAAGGACAGATGGCCATATTGTTGGAATTTTGGAAGTCAGTGGATAATGTAAGAGTGTTTCTTGTCGCTTTTCAGAACAAGAGGGGAATTGTCACATTTTCAAATTGCCAAAGATGTGTAATCAGCGGAAGCCCTGTGCTTGACACTGGATAGTCCACTTTGTTCAACAAAGACATCTTTTGTTCCAGATCTCTTTCTTGGCATCCTTAACTGAATTGGAACAGTTGTCGATCATGAACAATCCTTGTGTGATGGCAACACCTTCCATTCCAGGGTTCGACTATCGGCCATACATCGTCAGCTGGTGCTTAAACCTCAGAGTCCTAGATGGATATGTGATTTCTCAGAAGGAAAGGTGAATGTGACCTCTTTAACATAACATTTGTCATGGAAGTTACTGAAAAGACCATTTCTAGCTTTCTACAGATTAATAAACTGAATCTTTATTGAAATGTGCATTTAAAATGAAGACCATTGGTACAATCATACTCATTTTGGATTTTCTATCCTTCCTAAATCAGGATAAGAAATAAATATCAGTTCCAGAGGTTAGGTGTGGCTAGTGAGTTATCTTAGTGTCCAGTGTGCAACAATTCGATTTCTAAAAATTCTAATGTTAACTGGTTGGTTGGGGCTTGGAGTACTTATATGTAGAAACCATGTAGTGGATGCTGTGTAGGGAGGGTCTCAGATCAGTTCTACAGAAGCTTGTAATTCACCAGCTATGTAAGGGCAGTATTAACATTACCTTAGGTCCCAACTACCCTTTATAACAGTGGCTCTGTGGGAAAATGCATGCAGCGTTCCAGTTTGGAACCAATAGCGGAAATACTGATTGGTCCTCCCCTTTTCCCACCTGTGAAGCAGCAAAATGAGGACTCCCCCATCTCTAGGTCATTGATGCTTTTTGAGGCTTGGAGACAGGACCCTTGCCTGATGGGGTCTTCTAGAGGTTGGCACATGATGAGTGGAATTAGAGCTTCAGGGGAGGTAAGGAACTCGGTTGTGGACAAAAAGGGGTGGAATTAGAGGGGATTGTGAGAATTGAAGTGAGTTCATTCTTATCACTGTGTCTCCTTTCACTTCCTCCCCTCAGTGCATAGGTACCTCCATTCATGGACTCAACACCTACATTCTTCCTCACCGCTTTTGCTCTTCTGTCCTGCAGTCTGGTAGTAGTCCCTTGAGGAGTTTCCTGACGAGAGGATGAGTGATATATCAGAGACAGGTTTTCCTTTTCCTCCTCCCAGCTGTTTTATCTAGTTGCTGAATAGGACATGGGGCTGTTGAGGAATGGCCACCAGGAGCTACATAATGATGGTGCTTGTGTAGGGTGAGGGACATCTGCCAAGTCTGGTTTGCCTACCATAAAATGTGGCTTTTCCTTTTTCCTGCAGTAAGTGCTGCTGTGTACTCAGGAACCTTATTTGGTTTTAAATTGTGTATAGTTCTAAAGCTGGGTTAACTGGGATTACCCTCTCCAGATCTTTCTTTCAGTGAAAGGAGTACATCGTTCTATTTTTCTGTAGGAGTAGGACTGGCAGCACTTTTACCTGTGGGAGGCAGCATGGCGAGATGGGCAGAAATGGGGTCTGGTGTAAAGAGAGATCTGAGAAGAGAGGTGAGACCTGGTCAGGAGAGACAAGAGAAGGCTTCACTTTCCCTGCCATCCTTAGCTGTGTGGCCTGGCCAGGTTTCTTGGCTTCTCTGAGCCTTAGTCTCTCATCTGTAAAATGTGGGAAATACAACTTCACTTTCAAGGATGCTGTAAGCATGAGCATGAAGGATGTATATAGCATAATACTGGTCGTACAGTGGTGCTTAATAAATAATAATTGTCATTAATACTTAAGGATAAGGACTATGATTAAAGCATTTTGAAACTAAAGCAAATGTTAAAAAACAGAAAATATTTGTTGAGGAGATGAATAATAAATAATACAAAGGCTTTGTTTCTATACCATGGAAATGGTTTTAATCCAAGTAGCTTTCAGGTTATAGAATGTATAAAACCTTAAAAAGATTACCCTAACCAAAAGTGGTAATTTAGGTATTTCTGTGACCTCCATGTATAATGTCTTCCAAATGTTTGATTTCGGAGATTTCAGGTGTCAGGGAACAGTGGGCATTCGTCCCGGGGTAGCCCCCCTTTCTGTGGGCATCCTACACTGAAGTCTGGGAGGGAGGAAAAGGTTGGAGTGCAGCTTCATAATAACCCTTTATCAGATGGATTGTTTTCTCTCTGGTTTAAAAACAATTACAGAGTATCACATAATTCAGGTATAGTTAAAAAACAATATTTACAAATACCCACATAATCACTGAAAATAAGAATGGAACATAACCAGTGCTCCAGAGATTTACGTTGTTCCACTCCCATTATAAAGCCTCCTTCCCTACTAGAGATAACTACAGTACTGACTTTTTGATGATTCAGAAAGATTATTATTTTTCTTGGTTATTTTGGAGCCATTAAACCAATCAGCTCTCACCAGAGTAGCTGATACTACAAGGACAGAAAATACTAAGTGTTGGTGAGTATGTGGAGCAATTGGAAGTCTTATACACTGTTCTACAAATGTAAATGGTGCAATCACTTTGAAAAACTGACAGTATTTACTGAAGCTAAACATATAAATACATTCCCTATGGCCCAGCAATTTGACTTCTGGTTTATACCCTACAGAAATAGGTACTTGTATCTATTGAAGAGACGTGTACAAGCATGTTTATAGCAGCCTTATTCATACTAGCTCCAAATGTTGGGAGCTATTTGTGACATTTGGGAAACTACCCAAATGTCAGTCCACAGAAGAATGGGCAAAGTTATATTCAAACTAAGGAACCTAGATTGTTACTAATGCCACACTAGTGGGAAAAAGGCTGTTGCAGTTGATGTTTGAGACAGCCCAGTAGTCTACACTGTGCTCCCAGGTGTTAGAATATCTCTGGAAGTATTCTGTTGGGAGCGGAGGAATTATTCTAAGGGAGAGTCACTGTCTTAAAAACTGATGGGTAGCCTTGAGCAATGTTTAAAACATTCTCCTTGTCCAACTTGGGAACTGAATTGTCCTGGGGATAGGAAGGAATTACCAGTTGTTTAATCTACCCAGCCTTATACTGCATTTCCTAAATACATCCAGGCTAAAATTGTCCTCCCTTATGAAAAGTATCTGAGGTTCTTTGGTGACTCCTGGTAGACAGGTCTTAAACGTCTTTATCATGGAAAAGAGTCACAGGAGCAGTCACCCACCACTGTGGTGCTTTGTCAAGAGCTTTCTCAGGAGTGCACCTATGGAAAGACTAGCACCTTTGTATAGCACCTGAGTATTTGGAATTCTTTCTGAATTTGTTTCTATCTGTTTACTATTTACAGACCCAAACTACACCTCCGTTGCTTAGCAATCAAAATTTAGTTAAGAAGCAGAACTTTGGAGATGATGTTCCTTTTTTCTTTCTTTTTTAAAAATATTTTATTCATTTATTTTTAGAGAGAGGGGAAAGGAGAAGGAGAGGGAAACAGCAATGTGTGGTTGCCTCTCACACGCCCCCTACTGGGGACATGGCCTGCAATCCAGGCATGTACTCTGGGAAGCGCACTGGCGGCTCTTTGGTTCGCAGGCCAACACTCAATCCACTGAGCTACACCAGCCAGGACTGATGTTTCTTTTTTGAAAGGATATTCAAGATGTACAGAAGTAGAGAGAAACATAAGAACACCGAAATACCATGCAGCTTCCAGAGTTACCAACATTTTGCCAATCTTGTTTTTCATCTATTCCCTACTGTTTTTGTTGAAGTATTTTAAAATAGAATACCAGGTATCACTTTATTCAATACTAGTTTGGTTTTTTTTAAGGAGGAAGAGCAGATAGATTTCAATTTTCTCTCTTAATAGCTGTTACTTCTGTTATATTATGTAAACCATTCCTTTAGTTTCACCTGTGGTGCATTTAGGTACTTGAGTTTGACAGTGGATGGAGGGTATACTTATTGCTTCTCTGAAAATAATTTTAAAATACTTGGAGCTATTAGTGTAACTGTCTGGAAGTACCTATAAGCAAGGAAAAAAGGTTTAAATTATGTTAAGCGTAAGGGGAGTGAATCAGAAAGATAGAGCTTTTTGAACTTGAGTGAGTTTTATTTATGAAGAATGTCCAGTGATGCTATAAAGGTAAATTAAGAAGGGAGATCATTGTTAAAAATAAATCTTGTCTACCTGCTGTCATCTTCTCTTTATGTCCCCCAATTCCAGTTTGAAAGCTGAGTGGCTCTATAGCCAAGGCAAGGGGAGATCCTATCGGCCTGGCCAGCATATCCAGCTTGTCCAGTATTTAGCTACAGTCTGTCCTCTCACTTCTACACTGGGTCTTCAAACTGCGGAGGATGCCAAGCTGGAGAAGATTCTGAGCAAGCAGAGGTAAGCTCATTTATTTCTAGCAGCTTATGAGTTCACAAGTGAAAATACCTGAGTCTTTTCTGCAGGATCAGTAAGGCTGTAGCAGGTGCTGCAGCCCACGTTCCGGGCGTTTGGGCCCTTCGTCACTGCAGCACTCTCGCAGGGAGCTGAGCCACGCAGTGCAGCCTCATGGCTGCGCAGCAGCAGCATTGCCAATCATGCCTGGAGGGAGCCAAGCATTATGAGAGAATGGAATTTTTAAAAAAATGGATCTGTCCTCATAATGTAGGTGTTCCATAAGGGATTTTAAATACTAACATTAAGAAGTATGGCTAGAACAATTAGTGACTACTTTTTTTTTTTTAATCAGAGATCCTGCCTTAAACGTTTGTGCAAGTATGAGGATATCTGTCTATGTGATTTAAAAATAAGTTCCTTAACCTTTTTTACCCAATACTTTGAAATGAGACTTGTAATTTAGTGATTAGAGGTATCTGCTTTGAAGAATTGTTAACTTCTACCTTTTGACAGTGTTACCTAGGAAGCAGAAAAACGTGTGTGTGTGTGTGTGTGTGTGTGTGTGTGTGTGTGTGTGTGATCACATCAGATGTTATTGATTTTTAGGTTTCACCAGAGGCAGTTGATGAACCAAAGCCAAAATGAAGAGTTATCTTGTCTTCCTCCTGTTGAAACAAGAGTACCAGAGCATTCAAGCCCTGTTCAAGATTGCCAGACAGTCCAGGAAAGTGGTAAGAAATTAATTGATCTGTTTTCTCCAAGTTGTTTGATTTGTTGGTCATATAAAGAAGAAAAAGTTCATATTTTCATAATTTTTATTCTTTTTTATTTTTTTAACATTTTGTTTATTTTCAGAGTGAGGGGAAGGGAGGGAGAAAGAGAGGGAGAGAAACATCAATGTGTGGTTGCCTCTTGTGCGCCCCTAAGTGGGGGCCTGGCCCGCAATCCACACATGTGCTGTGATTGGGAATCAAACCAGTAGCCCTTTGATTTGCAGGCTGGTGTTCAGTCCACTGAGCCACACCAGCCAAGGCTCGTTTTTTAATTAAGTGGTCATTTGGGTCTTATATATATGTATATGTATGTATGATAACTACTTTATTTCTAATTTTAAAAAATTCAGAGCAATACTTCTTTTTGTATTCATCTAATACTTTGATTATTCTTATGATTATTGGAAAAGTTTGTTTTCTTAAAAATATTTGGTTTGATGTTGTAGGCATATTGGAGGAATCAACGAAGGCATTTTATTGCATTTTACTCTATTTCAAGGACTAGGTGTCATTAAGAAGATGTATCTGAACATATGTCTCAGTTCACTAAAGAATAAAAATAAATATGCGGGGATATGCATATTTATGTGTTAATTAACCAGATGGCTGGAACTCTTTCACAATGTACATATATCAAATCACCACAATATATACTTCAAATATGTTCAATTTTACACCTGATAGAGCTGAAATTTTTTTTAAAAAAGAAACCTCTTTAGATATTTAGTGGTTTAAATGATACTCTGTTGATTCTTCTAGACCCTGTCATCCAAGTCAATTCTTGGGTTGGTATGAGCAGTAATGACGATCAATTATATGCCATTAGGAGTAACTTTCCAGTCTCTGCACACACTACGAGATATTCTCGAAATGACCTGCACCTGGAAGACATACAGACAGATGAGGACAAGTTGAACTGTAGTCTTCTCTCTTCAGAGTCTACTTTTATGCCAGTCGCAGCAGGACTCTCTCCAGTATCACCTACAGTTGAGCTGAAGCTTCAAGGCCTAGCAGATGATGGTGATGGAGGTGAATCTGTGAAAGAGCAGGAAGACCAGGACATGGATAAGGAAGGGGAAAAAGTGTTTTGGGCTGCAAATGAGAATTCCATTGAGATGATGAAAAGTACAGTTAGTGCAGAGGTAAATGAGAAAGATGGGCTGTTACCTTGTCCTGAGCCAACAGTAACCAGCGCTGTCTTGAAAGGTGACTCCCTCAGTCTTACATCTTTTTCTGACTCAGTTGGACACAATGTCTTTCATACACAGCCAGACAGTGAAGAAATCATGTCTGAAAGTGCTTCAGAGGAACTTCTCTGCATGGCTTTAACCCAGAGATCTGTTGCTTTGGGACAAGATAAAGTTACCCTTCAGAAATTGAATGAAGCAGCCACAACACTGCAGGCCTGTTGGAGGGGATTTTATGCCAGGAATTACAACCCTCAAGTTAAAGATGTGCGTTATGAAATCCGGCTGCGTAGAATGCAGGAGCACATTGTCTGCCTCACTGATGAAATAAGGAGGTGGGTTGAAAGTCCTGTTCGGGTGCAGCTTTGTTGGTTTTGGGGCATCAGATTCTTAGAGTTGATCCAGAACACTGAATCATCGATGATGTGGTCAGGGCATGTTTCATGTTGTCACTCTTGGTTTACTTGTCTCCTAAAATATACTGGAAGCATCTTGAGGGCAGAGACAATCATATGCATCTGTGTGTCTAGCACAGCAGTTGGTACAGAGATGGAGTATAGTAATAAATGTTGAATGAATACATGTCTTATACACATCTTAAACATAAACACAGAAATGTACAGAAAATGTAGAAAAACAATGTACAGAATGAGAAGATGAGAAAGTCTACATAGAACCAACTAGGTGACTTCAGAATTAAAGAAAAAAAGCAGGGATTTAAAAGGGCTAAAATTCTGGGGCAAGAGTAGGATTATGCCTTAATTCTGTGGCTCACATGTTTTACTGCCTGCCAACCAGAGGAGAAGGCAGTGAAAGAGACTGAGGAGGAACAGCCAGAGTGGAAGAAAACTAGGAGAGTGTGTGTCCCAGATCCATCCAGAAAATGTTTTGGTAGAGAAGAGAGGTGCTGTAGGGAGGACAGAGACGTGTACATTAGATTGAAAAGCTGGGGATTATTGGTGGCTCTTTTGGGGTCCCCGAGACTATCCTTGGGTTTGATGATTTGCTGAAAGGACTCAGGAAAGCTGTTCTATTCATGATTATGGTTTATTATAATGAAAGGATACACATTAAATTCAGCATATAAGAAAGGCAGATAGGGCAGAGTCTAGGAGAAACAGGGCACAGCTTTTAGTTGTCCTTTCCTGGTGGAGTTGTACAGACGGGGTTTGATTCTCCCAGCAACAACGTGTGTACAACACCTGTGAGGTGTTGCCAGCCAGGGAAGTTCACTCAAACCTTGACATCCAGGATTTTTATTGGGGATCAGTCACAAAATACTTATTCACCAGAAAACAAACTATCTGCTTTAGCCCAAGGCCACATATATACAGATGTTCTTACCAGGCAGGATATTCCAAGAGCTCACAGATTATCTCCTAGGAGCCAATCAAAGCCATTTCTAGCTTTAGAATAGGTTTGAACACACCAGTCCTAATGAGTTAACCCTTTCCTGCCCAGTCAAGTTCACAAGAGCAGCTTCAGCCTCGTGGGATGAAGACAGTTTGGAATGGGTTGAATAGTGACGAGAGGTGAAGAGTGAATGTGGCCAACTCTTTTAGGACATGTTGCTGCGAGGAAAAGAAGAGCAGGAGGAGAATTTGGAGTTAAGGAAAATTCTTTTTTAAAGATAGATAAAGAGCATGTTTATGTGTTGATGGAAATGATTCTATAAAGAGGGAAAACTGATGGCACAGATGAAAGGAAGACGTGCAGGATTGACGTTCCTGAGAAGGTAGGAGAGGAAGGGGTCCAGTGCACGAGTAGAGGGAGTGGCCTGAGGGAGGACAAGAGCAGGTATGGTGGTAGGCTTGATGGTAGGGGGTGGGGAAGTCCTGTGTGATGGACACTTCTCCTTTTTTCAGTAATATTTAAGATGTGGCCAACATTTGAAAATGCAGGGGTGAGGGTGTGGGAGGTTTGAGAGAGATGTGAGGTGCGAGGTATTCATTTTAAAAGTGAACTCATAAAGGGAATGGAGAAGGATTGCTGGGCAATGTGTGGAAAACTTTAAGTGCAAAACAATAGGTCGGGTGTTATGATTTTCATCAGCAATTCTCAGCTGTTCTCTTCTGATTGGGGGGTAGATAATTTGCTTCAGCCAGGTATCATTTTTTTTTTCCAGATGTGTATGGTAGTGGAGAGAAGGAAGGGCAAGGGAATTGAAGATATGTGGATGGGATAATTATAATGATCGATCTTGGAGTTTAAACGAGGTAAAAGAAAAAACAAGAAGGAGGAATCGTTAGTTCAGAGGTCTAGATTGTTGCAGTGGGGTGCAAGAGCAGGTGAACTGGGACGATAGGAGGTAATGGTTTGTGTGGGCGCTTGGAATGATTTTTGAAGATGGTCTAGTCAAAATAAATGACTGGGTCTAGAGTGAGACAGTGAGAGTGGGTGACAGGGGGTAGATTATTCTTAGCGCATCCATGGGAATGTTAAGGGCCCCAGAAATGATGACAGGAATGGGGCAGCGAGAAAGACTGGTCCTAACTCTTCAGTGAATGGGGCAGATAATGGGAAGTTGGTACGTACTTGAAGAGAGTTTGTAGAGATTTAGTTCTTCAAGGAAGAAAGTAAAGAATAGTTTCTACACAGCAGTGAGAAACAACCTTCTGACCCTAATGATTGATTGAAAAAGATAGCTTCTACTGGATAGGGCTACAGTGCCCTCAGAAGTAGGTCTGACTTGGCAAGGAAAAGCTCGTGTAAGAGCTTGACTATACAGGGCGAGGCTAAAGGAGGTGTACAGTTGTGAGTATGCAACACAGTTTATTCTTGTATTATTTGTTAATTATTGTATTTATTTTCCATACAAACAACTATACACCTCTTTAAACCTCCTTTTGCCCAACCCTGTATAAGGGAGTTTGCTGACTGCAGTTCAGGAGTCTTAGGTGTCACAGGAGAAGAGCTCAGGGGCCAAGACTGGAGAACTGAGGCAAAGGTTCAGAACAGGATGGCGGTGACAGTCTGGGAGATAACAGACAACTAGGGGAGCCTAGGTCTGTGATAGGTGTAAGCGTGGAGAGTGAGCCCAGAGTAAGACTTGAATGAATGAGGAGAAGTGATGGGATGAGGTTGGGGGTTGTCTGTTGATAATATAACAAAAAGTTTGTTGGGAACCTGGGCAAACAGGAGGTTTGATGGGGTTGTCCTGCTAGTCTCTTAGCAGGTGTTTCTTGGTGTGACCCTAGTCCTTTCTGCAACTGCTGCCCCTTTGATTTGTTTGGCTGGGAAACTGAGGTCAGCTAAGGAGCCATTTAATATTTTATTTTATTTTTCATCACTGGCAATACTTTGTGGAACCAATGTAATCTGAATTTCAGTCATGTCTCACTGGTTTTGTTGAGTCACGGTTTACAGTTTGTTTCAGCTAAGAGTTTAAAAGTGGAAAGGGCTATTAGTTGTTTTTTAATCTCTCTACAAGCCATGTGTTTATTCATTGTTACAAGAAGTGCAAGTCAAAGCATCCTTCCTTGTGTCAGTAATGCATTTTGAATTATTATAGATTAAGAAAAGAAAGAGATGAAGAACGTATTAAAACTTTTGTACAAGAAGAGGCTGTCAGATTCCTTTGGAACCAGGTAAACCCCCTTCCTGCATTTTTACCTAATGTGTGAACAGAGAAACATTTTAGATTTCATAAGATAATTATAGATAGTTAGGCATACTGAGCACCCTTTCCCAAGTCAAGGGTGTAATTTATACCCTTTGCCAGTAACTTGGAACTAGTACAGCGAACTTTGTTACATTTTATTTAATCTGAAAAAAAGTAATTTTTTTTCATTGCAGATGCCTTTATTACAAAATATAATGAACAAGGTAATTATATAGATATAAGAGTGCATGGAAGAAATAATGACTTAATTGATTTCAGGAAGATCAACAAATATGATCTTTGTCCCAATCTATGAAAAAAAGTAATTTTATAACTTTGACCAGAAAGATAAAGAAGTATAAAGAGGAGAGTGGCTAAACTGAAGAATGTTATAACTTTCCAATATGTACATGTAAAACACTGAATTTGAAATTTATTGTAACTATCTATCTTGTGTATCTTGGGGATATTTGAATGAAAGGTGCCAACCATGGAATATGATGGTTACAATATGCATGTCCTAAAAAGTATGCATGACTTCTTGGGAGAGAGTTTGCATCCTGTAATAGCACACTTTAGGGACAGATCAGACAGCTGGGTTTTATTATGATTGTATCCTATCAAATATTTCTTGATAATTCCTTAGAAATATTTTTATAGAAGAATTTCTTGCAACAGGATTTTAACTATAAAATTCAAAAGACCTTTGTAAAGTTTTATAATTACTAGTAGAAGAGTGCCTAAATAAATTATAGAAATAACAATATTATGGAATGCTATGGGACAGTTAAAAAGAAGAAGGGAATAGTATGGACTGACCTGGAAAAGTCTCTGAAATAACACTGTTCAGTGAAAACCAGCAAATTGCAGAACTTAGTGTTCCACTTGATTTTAAAAACTCCCTTTGTATTTGAAAATACATAGTAAAAGGTCTGGAAGGACACATATCAAACTGCTATCAGTGATTTCCTTGAAGGGCAGTCAAAGGGAAACTAAAAAATTCTATATATTGTTATTTCATTGCAGATGTTACAATAAAATTTTGAGATCTTCATTGTTCTTTAAAAATGTAAAGGTCTTATTACCAAGAACTCAGGCTATTTTGAGGTATTTTAGAGTTGTATATACTATATTGTTAAATAATATTTATACTTATCTCCAATGGATATTTAAAATGAGACCCTGCTTATGTTAGACAATCTGCTTTCGTTAGCAGGCTCTAACCTGTCTTGTCATAGGGACCTCAGTGTAAATTGAGTATGTTATTGACCCGTCAGTCAGCTAGACATGTGCTGTTTTACTTCTGATTGTTTTCCCAGTAGAAGCAAGAGAATTGCTTTGGCCCATCCCTGCTGTCCTGGTGAGGGCCTTTTATGACCAAGGCTTGGGCTGCAAGGGCCATGGAAAGGGTAAGGGAAGTGAGGCCGTTTCTAACTCCAGTATTGCTGTGTGCCATTTACCAGCTTCATGTGTTTTGGGAAAAAAGCTCAAAGGATGATTATAAAACAGGCATGATTTTTATTTTATAATAAAACTACGTCCTTTGGTTTATAGGTAAGGTCTCTACAAGTTTGGCAACAGACCGTGGACCAGCATCTAAGTTCCTGGCATACTGATGGTCCTCCTGCATCAAGTACTGTGGTGCCATCTGTACAAGAAGAGGCTCCAAATGGAATGACTCCATTTTTCACCCAAAGCCAGGAACCCTCTTCTGATCAAAGTTCTGATGGGTGCATTGTTCCTGGCGAAGCTCCTCAAGAGAAATCCTCACCAGAATTTCCAGACTCTGGTTTTCATTCCTCCCTAATAGAACAAGTTCACTGTTTGCATGATTCTTTGGATTTTGAAAAAAGTTCCACAGAAAGCAGTGTTAGTTCTGTAATGGGGAATTCCATTGACACAGTCAAATATTGCAAAGAGGCAGATATGGAGGATGTTAGTGAAGAACATAGTGAGCAGAGTAAGGAAAGCTCAAACAATGAGCTGGATAATAATCTACTTGAACAGTATTTAACTTCAGTTCAAGAGTTAGAAGATTCAGATGAGAGGACAAATTTTGCTGAAGGGGCAGGAGATAGTATGCTTCACATGGCTTCTTCCCCTGAAAAGCTAGAAGGGTCTGACAGTGCTTCTGTTGATGATACTCGTGGCATACCTCCTACTTTGCAAGATGAAAACAGACAGACTCCAGAGGATTGTAAATTGAATACAGAAGTTCAAGGGCAGCAGTCAGAATGTGATTCTACATTTCAAGTATTGCATGTTGGTATTACTGTGTAGCATGTCTGGTTGCTTCAGAAGCAGAAATCCACTTTTCTTAAGAGTATTTTCAGTTTTCTTGTCTTTTCTTTTCAGAGTAATGGGAATATCCCCCCCCCCCCCAATTTTCTTACTATTCATATAGAACTGTGTTCTTTGTCTCATATTTTCCAAATTCTAGATTCTGAGGTCAGTCTTCATTTTGATTGGTTAGCTTTTTTACTTAGCTCTAATGTATCAAACAATATTTATATTGGAAGCCATAAGCACTTTATTTCTTAACAACTGAATTTCATCAACAGTGTTCCTGTTTTTTTATGTATTCATTTCCTTTCAAAAATAAACTAGAATACATTAAAGAAGATAGAAAAAATTACCTTAAAGATATAAATAAGAATTTTGACTCCTCTGTGTGAGGAAATGTGTAGTGAAGAATGCAATTTGTTAAAGTGAATGTATATAACATATGAAGATTGTGAACTACTGAAATTTGCCAGCCTTCTTGGAGGAAGAACTTGTGTTTTTAAGCCTTTTTTCCTCCTTTATGAGTCAAGGAAAGCCTTTTAATAAGCAAATAGGGCAAGAAGGTAAGGTTGTAGGATTTTTCCATGGAGATGATTACATTGTCTCATGGAAAACTATGTCACGTATGAGTTTTAACATATGAAGCCAAGTGATTCCATCCATAATTAAAATCAAGCTTATTTAAAGAGGCAACATAAGAATATTTCTCTTAGATAAGAAAAACAGTAGGCTCCATTCATTTTGAATACTGTCATGGCAAACATTTATTATCTTTTCATTTTCTTTTTTGCCTCACAGATAAACATTTGTGTGCCAATATATTGTCAGAAATTAAAGTTTGTTCATTTCACGTTCCTGCTTTATATTTGCACTCTGTAGTTCAGCAGAAGGTCCATGGTCATTTATTTCACTTTTGAACTCTGCCTCATAAAGAAGAACATTTAAAATAATACTAGTGGTAGAATATGATGACTCTTTTTTTAAAGGACAATTTTCCATCTAAATCTATGAAAAAAGTGCCACCTTTGGAAGACACTTTAATGGTGATTAAGAAAAAATAAAACTCACTTACCTTTACCTGTTAAAAAGAATATGTATCTGTAACTCCAGGAGGAAATGATAATATTGTGTTTGGATATTAAAGGTAGATGTATTTGCAAATAATTTGTGGAAGCTTGATATTTTAATCTTTGAGAATGTTCTAATATCACTGAACAATACGTATGTAATTTTTCCCTATCTGTGAACATACAACTCTTTATAACTATGGCAATACTTGTGTATTCTCTAAATTTAGGTGCTAAATACCATTTATTATTCAGTTACAGTCACTAGGTCCCCTTCTTTGAAGTTAGAAAATAAAAACTTCTGATCTTCAAGAATAAGGTCAGGGATCACATGTAATACTTTGTTGATAGTTAGAAATATTTCTCCAGTATGAGTAAGATATATTTTTCTCTCTTTAAAAATGTGTAGCACTCAGGTTTAGAATACTTGAATTTCATTCTCAGAAATTCAAAATCTCTTGGAAAGGAAGTATTTTTTGTCTCATAAACTGAACAGCAGTCTTATGTTCAAACATATTTTTTAGTGAAGCTTTGTAACTTCGAAAGCATGTTAAATAGAATTTTTTGCTTTTTGAATAATGCTAATTGTCTTTTATGAATGTTTTTTAATTTCTTCTTAAATATACCCTATTTTTCTATTTTATAGTTAAGTGCCTCATTTGCTGCCCATTGTTAGAAAAAGAAAAATCAACTTGGCATTGCACTAGTACCAAAAGTACATGGTACATTAATTCCTCATCAAAGCCTCTGAAATGTTATGCTTCAGTATATCTAAGTAGGTTTCTGCTGACATCTTTTCTCTCTCCTCTTTTTTCAAGAAATGGCAAAACCCAACTAAATTAAGTGCTGGCTGATTGCTTGGCTCAGCTGGTTGGTGTATTGTACCCTGTACCAAAAGCATGTGGGTTCAAACCTAGTTCAAAACTAGGTTTCAGGTATGATCCCTGATCAGGGCTTGTACGAAAGGCAAATGATTGATATTTCTCAAATTGGTGTTCCTCTCTCTCTCGTTCATTCTCTCTCAAATCAATAAGGATATATTCTGGGGTGTGGATTAAAAAAAAAAACACACAACTAAGTTCATTTGAACATGAGCATTTGTCTGTAAGATTTCCTTTTTTACCTTTGCCTTGTTTTTCTAGTGTAATAGTATTGAATACTTTTATTTTAAAATTGACAGAATATGATAATGATTAATATTCTGTTCTTCATTCTGTTTGACTTTACTAGTGTTTTGAAGTAGAAGAATGTTAAGTAACCCCCTACACTTTACAAATTATCTTGAATGTAGATAAAATGAAAATAATGTAAATTAGAATGAAGGAAAACTGTGGCATAGTTTTAATATATTTTAATAGGTTTACAATGTAATTTAAAATAACTTATGTAACTGAAATATTTGGTTTTTAACACTATGGGCTAGTCACTGGTCTAGCTAAAGAAGAAATGAGTCTAGTAAAGTTTGGGAAGTTGAACTTTAACACAGTCTTTGTGTTTTTTCTTACAGGACAGATTTAGTTCAGCTGTGCTATATTAGTTCATACTATTTTTTTTGATTTATTGAAAATTCAATGTATTAAGTAGATATTTCTGCAGAGGCAGAGAATCATACAATGTGAGAACTGGAAGAAACCTTAGAGATTATTCATTCTAATATATTTGTTTTAAAGATGAAATTAAGTCACAGAGAAGTTAAATAACTTGTCCAATATTCTAACTAGTTAGTAGTAAGCTGAAAACTTAAAATATATTGTCCCAAAAGTTTATTTTACACTTTCTATTAATATTTACATTTAGTGAACAAGTAAGAACATCTCACATATTTTCCATTCTCTTTAAAAGAGAACAAAAATTTCTGGGGGCTAGAACTCTACACTTAAAGGCAAAGTTTCTTGTTAAAAAAAACAATTAATTCATTCAGAACCCTGAGTGAATTTTCTCTAAGAAATGTGATTTGATTAAAGTGGTTTTTAAAGAGCAATAGTAGAAACAAAACATTTAATAACTGCATCTTTTAATCCATTTATTGGATGACAAGTATAACAGGTTACTAACATCTATAAAATTTCCTAGTGAAATGCTGAGTTTGATTATATTTCATCTTCAGTTTTACAGAACAATAGATGTTAAAGTTTTAACTCTCCTGCTGTGCAGAAATCTCTAATTATGGCAGCTGATACATACATAATATAGTTTGTTTTTATAAGTTTAATTATAAAAGGCTCAGAATGTGCCTGTTTTAGGAAAACCTCACAAGTGTTTGTAGTTACACAAATAGTTATATTCTTGAATGATATGGATTCCATTCTTGAGTGTGTATTTTTCTTTTGTTTTAGATTATTTTAAATATACAAATATAATACTGTATTTTTTGGTTATCTACCTAAGACAAGTCTAGTTCCACTTTTTGTAAACATCTTTAAAAACAATATGGCCTTAAGAAATTACACTATCTCCCTTGGTACCTTTTTGGTGCAAATTCTTAGAACTGGATTTATAACAATAATATAAAATCTTGTTTTGTTTTTTTTCCTGGAGAATTAAGACCTAGTAAAAAGGGAAAATATAAAAGGAGTCTGATCAATTTCCCCTTCATTAGTGAAATACAAAGAGACTTTATTGTTTAATGTATATGTTTATTTTGCCATGCACCTTAGTAAGGGTTATCTATTATATTGTAATGTTTTAACTTTTAAATATATGACCCCTTTCATGAAGTAAAGCAGAAAGTGTTTGTAAGGAACATTGTAAACATTTTTAGTGATCCTGGTTTTGCTAATCAAATCTTTTGTGCCAAATTAAAATTAAAATTCAAGTAAACAAAGTAGTCCTCACAGCTTGGAGAGAAACAAATAATTGTCTTTTTAAAATGAGGTGCTTTTTATTTGTGATTGAATGGAACTCATACTAAATTTTGATTCTTTAATTGGTTTTAGTGACTCGATAGCAGGAGTCTGTAGCAGCTGTGTTCATCTTCTAACAGTTTCTTTGAGTGTTTTGTAGTAAATTTAATGTTGACAACAAACATTTAAAGATAATTTGATATGGGATTCTTTTTTAGATTTGTCTTTAATTTTGTTGTAGAAATAGATGATTTTAAGTGGTTATGGTCTGTTTTATGAAGGTTTCATATTTTATGTTTTTCTTTGTATTTGAGTCTCTAATTCTAAATAAAAAGTTTGTACATTTGTTTTAGTGATTATCTATTTATTATAATTAGTAGTAATGGTTGTTATTCATTGTGCTTGTCAATTAATGTGTAATTATAATTCAGAACAAACTGCAGACAGAAGTGTACCAAAAGAAATTCTGAGTATTGTTATGTAAGTGAATTTGCAATAAAACAGTGCTGGCCTTAAGAAAATGGGTATGAAATGAAAGGAATGCTCATTTAGTTTTATTTGGTATGGATTTTATTACTTTCAGAGGGTCACTGGAATTCTCTGGGTAGAAAAAAAGCAACTATTATCCTTCTAAGAGCATAGGTGACACTGTCAGATGCTGTTGAAACAGTGGGTACTCAGAGTGTTAGGGGTGAGTAAGTAGAGTAGGCACCCTCTGATTTGACACAATTAGGACTTGTAGTTGGTGTTATGGACTGAACTATATTTCCCGCTAAATTCTTATGTTGAAGCTCTAACCCCCGATGTGACTGTATTTGGAGATAAGGACTTTAAGGAGGTAGTTAAGGTTAAATAAGGTCGTAATGGTGGGGTTCTAATCCAATATGTCAGGTGTTCCTGTAAGAAGAGATACAAGAGGTGTTTTTCTTCATGCCCACCCAGGGGAGAGGCCGTTTGAGAACAGTGAAAAGGCAGTCCTCTGCAGGCCAGGGAGAGAATTCTCACCAGAAACCAATCCTGCTGGTACTCTGCTCTTGGGCTTCCAGCTTCCAGAAATATGAGAAGATATATTTGTGTTTAAGCCACTTAATCAGTGGTATTTTATTATGGCAACCTAAGCAGA